AGACAAATACATATATGTTCCTGCTGTCATTTTGGAGACTCCACCATGACTTTACGGAGCACCAAATGGGTATCTCTCGACAGGTCGAGGAACGGCTCGTTCCTGCGATGCTCAGCCTCTTTCAGCTCCTTCCTGAGCAACATCGAGGAGTCTCGACTTGGGGCAAATGTTGAATGGTGGTGTGTTGCAGCCTTCGGAAGCTGAACTCTAAAGGACTTGGACCTTTTTCAGCCTGAAAGGTTGGATTTCTTCCAAAAACACATTCTTCATGTTAAACACTTTGCTTCAGTTGCTTCTGATTCTTTGCAAAATTGATGCAGAAGCGAAGCTCTGGTGGCTTCACTTAAGGGAACATCCCCAAAGGATCGCCGCTTTCTTTGATCGGCCATGTTTCACCACTCTCGAGAGGGAATCTCTCCTCACCCATGCGACAAAACAGTGTCGACTCGTCGACTCAAAAGACTACGAAAATCTCAAAGTCTTTGGACTGAAAAAGACTTGAACACTCAATAATACCTGAAAACTCAAAGCTTTCTCCACTTTATCCACCTCAACTCTATCCTGGTACCCTGTGTAGTCTTGATTGGTCCTTGGACAGCTTCCAAAGAAGAACTCCAAACTATTGGAGCAAATCATGAGCTATCTGTAACTTTCACTTTGCATATATCTTCAAACACACATTCCTTTAGACTCTCGCGTCTGCTTAACGCCCTTAACGCCCCCCCCAAAAAAGAGACCTGCCTCTCAAACCGCAAGGACCGCACACCGGGACTCACACCTCCGGTTCGGTTCACCCGTCCAGGCACTCCCAGCACTTCCTGGACTCCTCCGGCTCGGCTTTGGGGAGGCTTTGTCGGATCTCGTGAATCCGTCGGAGCATCATGGAACGCTTCCTGGGACGGAAGCGGAGCCGGAGCGACGGTCAAGGCTTCACCCTGTGACAACAGCACCATGTTTGGGAGTTTGTTGAGTAGATTTAACAGATGGGAACTTGCAAAAACAAAACCGTGCACTCATGACACACATTCAATTCCTCCGTTTTGTTTCTGAGGCACAAGTTCAGGACAGACTTGTTAGACTTGACAAGAATCCAAGGGCCATGGCAGTTTCTATATCAGTCCGTCACCACTCACCACTCACCACTTCCTCTTTCTGTTCAGTCTCACCAGTGAATCACCGCGCCCGTCCACACTCGGAACGAAACCGTCGTCCCACCGACTCACCGCCGTCCCTGGGGTCGATCGATGACCATGATCAAGAGGCGAAGAAGCCAAAAGGCCGGTATGTGCGTCAACCAAAATCCTTCCACAAAATGGGAACAAATGTTTCAACACTTCAACATACTTAGACTCAGTGGCCATGATATGCCATGATGTGTTCTTTATGAAGCGACCGGCTTTTTCACCAGGTGATATACACGTCACCTTAAGGGGTTCATTGGGCCACCAGGTCACTGCCTCGTGTCGGACCGACCTGGTTTTCGCGTTCACCGAAGCTGAGGGTCTCTTGCACGTCAAAGAGCCTTGGAACGTGAGGCAACCAGGCTCGAGCCTGGTGTCGCCCCACATTTCCTATACTTTGGAAGCATTGAATGAGTCCAGAGTCAAGTCCAAATAGGCTTTTTATGGCTTTTTCCATCCCTTTCTTCTGGTAGATGGAAGAGTCAAGCACGTTTCAAGCTGTGGGATGCATATCATTCTCTTCAACATGAGTATGTCTCAAATTTGTGCCAGCTCCTCAGCCCTCAGCTAGCTGCTTAGCCAAACTCGGACGCATTGTTCAAACCTTTTCCTTCGGGTCTCACTTTGACATAACTCTCAACTTATAAATACACTGCTTGTACCAGCACAACCCAAAGAGCGATTTCTAGATGGTAAACACCCAGGTCGAACTGTTCTTTCTTTTTGAACAATCTCAAAGCCATGGCTGCCATGAACTGCAATCCTTTCGAATTCAGTGCCCTTTGGTCGTCACCGGCGTACTGCCTTTGGCGACAGAAAAGGACCTCCAAAGCCAGGACTCCTGGTGACCATCACCTACCGGACCACACGACAGTACGGCCCAGTACCCTCTAACTCACGAAAATGGAAGTGGAAAACCACTCTGTTTTCTCGAGGAAAATGGCTCTTCCTGGTGGCTACGCTATATATGAATCCATATATTGTGACGTTTTCGTGACGTTTTTGTGTTTTCGACCCAGTAGCTCTTGTCGCACTTTCATCCGATGTTGTCGGATCAGCAGTGGATCCAGGTGCACCGCCCAGCGCTCCCCGACCTCATTCTCCACGATCCTCAGTCACAGAGACCAGCGCATGGGGAGTGAAACCAGCGCTTAGCATGACTCATTGACAGAAGAACGGAGCCGGGGTGCTTAACTGTATTAGTCTTTGAACGCCTTCACAAGTCTAGCTGCCGTGCTAGGATTATGATGGCACACTCCACAATTGGAACCCGTCTTTCCAATATTTGCTTCCTTTACAAACACATACGGTAGCTTCTCTTTGAGATTCTTTGAGAATATTGGCATCTCCACTAGACCAACCACTGGTGCCGTTCAAGCTGCACTGGGCACCAGTTCTCCGCCATGTGGTTGCCGTGCACGTGCCGGTGGATGGTCGTCACATGCCTCTTCGAGAGGCACACGTCACACGTCGGTGACCCTGGATCCCAAAGAGGAACACGTCAGGGGCCAAGTCTGGGCATCTTTCAAGAGGAACTTTGTCTTGGTCAATGATGTCACCGATTTTTTGGTTTGTGGAAGGAATCTGTTTATGTCGTTTGTTGATGAGAACGGAAGTGGCTGGTTCTTTCAGTTCTTCTCCTGCGAAGCTCAAGATGTTGGATATATATATATATAGAGGTTAAATCATATGCATAGAGAATCTCCAATGTAAGGTTAAAACCAATATAAAGGTTAAAGCTCAAGATATATTTGGTTAAGCTCAAGATAGTGGTTAAATCCACAACTGGAGATGTTGAAGACTCTAAGCCCAAATGTTTGTCCAACAGCTGCCTGAGGGGTTCCACCACAACTAAACACCCTCTGAGCAAATCATGTAATGCAGGTCAACCTGAGTTCTCAACGACCAAAAACATCTCAAACCGCCGGGAGGCACCACCAGCCCCCCTGTCTTGGTGCCACGAAAGGCCTGCAAAAGCAACATCACCAGTTCAGAAGCATCCGTTCAGTCAAACCCTCAAGTGCGTCGAGTCTACCCGCACCTTGCTGAGTAGTTACTTCCATTTCTTCCTCATTTAGACCTCCAGTTCACCTGAAGAGGGACAACACCTCGGACCGGTCCTTCTCTTCTCCTCTTCTCCTCTTCTCCTGCTCTTCTCTTCCGGTCATCTTCGTTTCTCTCCGGTCTCTCCGGTGTTTCGCACCGAGCGGAGAAGAGCCCCGCTCCGAGCCCGGAAAGCCCCTTGCGCCAAGCCACTCGGAAGGTAAGGCATCAAAATGACGGTCGGAGTGGAGCACCAAGGCCTCAAGGTGGTGTCGGGTCTGGAATTGTTGCGAGAGACAAGTCATCAGGTGGAGCTCGTTTTTGTTTTGAATTTGTTTGTGAATTCTTTGTTGGTTTGTTGATTGAATTGGCTTTTTTGGAACTGTTTGTTGGTTTGTTCTTTGTTTGCTGGCAGTTTTTTTTGTACTTTATTTTTGTCTTCCATGAAGGTGCCTACTGTATGTTCTATTTGTTGGGGGATCAACTCAGTGAAAGTACACAGGTGAAAACAAGTTTGGAGGAGTGTGAGATTCCTCAATGAGGACGAGCATGGTTGGTCGACTGATTGATCACACCCATGGAATCCCATTAAGCCTAAGATGCGGTAGGAGGTGATGTGTCAACTGTGAGAGGGGGGCTGTGGGCACGAAAGACCATCAACTTGTGATCGGTTGACGACATGCACCGGAAAAAACACATGAGAAAACATCCCACCACAAAAATAAGGTGCATCCCTGCGCGATCTATCCTAGTTCCACCTACCATGCGTGGTTGACCGGCCTCAAACTTCCTTGGAACACCCAAAGCTGCAAGAATTGACTCCTCCCCGCCTCGAAAATCCGTGGGGTCAGCCCCACTCCCCGCACAGGAGGCGCCATGTGCGCCAAGGATGGCTGGAGTACTCTTGTTGATCTCACCAGTGGTGTGGAATGGTTTCGAAGTCAGAGGTATGAATTTGGTTCACCCCCCCAATAATCGCTTTCCTTGGGACATTAGCTGGGTCAGCCATGAATGTGTGGCATGCCACAAGAGGACGGAAATGGCATGTCTTCTGGGATTGCTAAGTTGTAACAAAATTGTCAGGCTCAAGAGATATCTGGCCATCTGACTCTGACTCACCCACGAAACAATTGCCCACATGAGGGCAAGATGCAACTAGCAATTCATGTGATTTCTGCCAGTGTAATTCCCCACTCCATCGTGATTGCTGTGACTTGTCTCTCTTGCACTGCTTTGGGTGCATCTTGTTTGGGGTATGTCTGACGCTCCCCCTGAGCCAGTCGGTCAGAGGCGGATAGCAAAGTCGCCCGATACATGGCTTTAGCCCTGCATTTCATCCAAACCCTTTCTTCAAACATCATTCTTATTGCCTTGCAAGAGATGTTGTCCACAGCCCTAGACTCAATCAAACATCACGACAAGTACAGAAAAGAATCAAACTTCAAGGTTGAAGGGATTTCCCATCTTCCTGACCATTCTTATAGGTCTTCAGATTGCTAAATTGCTGGTCCTATTTTGTTCAACACCAGATTGTGCCAGGAACGAAAGATTATTCGACACAAGGGTCCTGTTCAGCGCCCTGTCCATTTGCAGCGTCATGTGCTCCATGTTTCTTTGACAAAGTTATTTCCCAGCATGAATCTGTTTCCACCGACCGTTCTTGGATCAGAAATCTTTGGCTCAACATGCGCATGTGTCTTCGGGCATCGTAGTTACTGCAAGGCGTAAGAACTAACCGCTTGGGTGTCAACCCGTGGACAACGTGACGCTGGACTCCTGCACCGGCAAATGAAGCGGAACTGGCTCCAGCCTGAGAGCATCTGATGTCTTCACACATGTGAAGACTTGAGTACAGCTTGACTTGAGTGAGCTCATCAAGTTTACTTGAGGGCAACAACTGGTAACGACAGAAACTGACAAACTGTGAAGTAGAAACTACATGAGTCATGTTCTCCTGGTTTGCATAGATAAAGACATTTGCAACTCATGAACCTCCCATGTCTTCTGGCAATCCTATGACGAGATAAAAGTGACGTTGATGCAGAACACATGCAGGAGTGGTCATCAACCGACGCCAACTAGGAGCAAAGGACGCTGCTAGGAACAAGTGCCACGCTACTAGGAACAAGTGCATCGCTACTAGGAACAAGTGCCTTACTAGTAGTAACAATGTTTGCTAGTAGAAGCTATTATTAAGTTTTTAATTAGAATCAAATTAGGCTATTATTACATGCAGGAGTGGTCATCAACCGACGCCAACTATAGATTGCATCAAAAATTGACCTGTCAAGCTCTGCTCTGCTGCTTCTGTTGCACAAGCTCTGCAAGTCTCTTCAGGGTTCTTTCGCAGAACTTCACTGAAGAGAGAGTGACTGCTCAAGCGGCTTTAACGCAATCACACAAAAAGGGCACCCCAAGCATGGGGCCAATCATGGACCTGCCCTAAAACACAAATCACTCACACATTGAACATACACCCAAAAGGAGAAAAGAACACAAGTAACAAACAATCTGAGTACCTTGCCATGTGGTACATCTATCTACATCTAAACATCAACGGAAGATAGAATCTACATCTAAACATCTACATCTAAACATCCGAGTCACTCCGTTGGTACATCTATGTTCCGTGACTCTGCTGGACTCTTGTCCCACATCGGGCGGAGCGTGGCAGCCGAGGTGCAACTGAAGAGCAGGACCAGTGGGCTGAACTGCCGTAATCACCAAGTCACCTCGCTTGGTGAAGATGTAAAACAACATCTGCGGAGTTTGGGGCCATCATAGTTTTGAACCGTGAGTTGATTCATGGAACCGCCTAGCTTGGGTAGCTTGTGCTTTCGCTGAGAGTGGGACAGAAAGCAATACAAACAGACTCATCCAAAACGCCGAGGAACTCTTGATCTCGACCGTGCCCTTCTTGGACTGCGATCGTTTGGACGCCGAACGATGGGAGCCTGCGCCGGACGTTAGTCATAGTCGTTCGACGGGCGGGAGGGGTTGGAACTCCTCAAAAAGTAGAAATCAGGGTAGCCCAGGCAGAAACATATATAAGTCATAGGAAGCCACGCATGAAAAACACGAGCTCTCAAAATAAGTGCACAACCTCAAAAATAAATTCAAGATGTATCACATATTTAAAAGGTAGCCAAGGGTTCCAAGACAATCGCAAGCCGTGAGAAGATCAGGTGCCAACCCCATCTTATTGAAAATCCCTAACCCCAATCAAAAACATCTTGGACAACATAGATCCACCCACCCCAATCCCCCCTCACTCTTCCTCTCATGCTTATCCCCAAAGTGGCAAGTTGCTCCACCCATCTTTTCAGACCTCAACAAACACAAGAAAGAAACCGCATGTCTTCAAGCCTGCCGAGTCCAGCTGCTGTGCGAAGATCGCTGTGCCCCAACCAGGGAAGAGCTGCGGCAAGCAACGACTCCTCATCAGAGCAAACCGCGCGAGGGCGGAGAGGGCAAATGGCATGGTGGGGATGGTGATCCTGGTGAGGAAGGAGCTGAGTGGAATTCTGGGCTGTCTTCCAAGGGGGGGGAGCAAATTAAACTGTACTGTATTAGTGGAGATGCAGTTCCACACCTCTTGCAAGGACTTGCTGGACATTGCTGAAGCAAGATTCTCCAAGAAATTGGTTTTCGGGTTCTTGATACGTAGCTGGTGTAGCTTAGAGAAGAGAAAGGTCACAACTCCGAGGATCTAGCACGGCCAATCGTCCTCCTCCAAATGGACTCAACAAGGGGCATCGGCATAGCCCCAAAATGCGCACAGCATAGTGAACAACGGTGCCGGGGGTTGACCAATTGGGTTCTTTGCAGTTTTTCACCACTTAGTCCATCTTGGACCATTTCTTGGACCTATACAGTAGGGGCTCGTAGCAAGGACGCTATTAGGTGGAGGCCATCGCAAGTAGATTGGAGGCCGTCGCTACTAGGAACAAGAAGCTACAAGTAGCTAAAAGCTACCAATGAGAAATCTCCTCCAAAGCTGTTGCGACTACACAAGTTTCAGACTGCTTTCCGAGGAGCACAATCTGCTGCTGTGTCTCAGTGTTGGCAGAGCTGCCCCACAACTCAAAGAGGACCTCACCACTGAAGGGCCAGCAGTTTCAAAAATCGGTCTTTTGATGGCTTTTTGAGTTGTGGAACTTTGGTTGGCGGATCCTGTAGATTTGGTGGTGGATCTTTGCTTCTTGATTTTATCAGCAAATTGCTGGACTTGGCTGGAAGACCATCCGCGGGATTGACCTCAAAGAATTCCACCGAATTCCACCCGCTTCCCATTGTCCACCCTCTCAGCACACCCTTGTCAAACCCGCACGCCACGCGCGCCTCGTCCTCCAAGAAGAAGAGCCGAAAGCAGCGACTGCGCAAGTCCTAGCTGCAAAGAGTAGCTGCGGCTGATGTTGGAAATTGTTCGGTTGACCAGTGGTTAAACAATTTGGGTGAGATAGTCAAGGACGCTACTAGGAGCAAAGGGCATCGCTACTAGGAGCAAGGACGCTACTAGGGGCTCCTGGCCTTACTACTAGGAGCAAGAAGCTACTAGGAACAAGGGCATCGCTACTAGGAGCAAAGGACGCTACCACTCTCAATTTCTGCTGCGCATGATCTGCTGCGCATCATCTCCTGAAGGTCTTGCCGGATCACACCATAGGCATCCATGAAGTACTTGCAGGCCTCGACGTTGGTTGAGCAGACTTGTTTGGGCAACGACACTGAAGAAAAGCCACAACACGAAGCTTCATCGAAACCTGAAGATGGTTGGTTGGCAACTGGTGCTTGCTTCCTGAAATCAAACATTCCGGAGAAGATATGATGCATTATGATGGATATATGCCTCCCATGGTGTTGCGAATTCTTGCAGGTTTGACATCACCGTGTTACGTTGGGTGTTTCGGCTCCTTTTCCCTACCGGTCGCGCTCCACCCCACCCAACCGGTCCGCCTCCGTCGCCAAGCCGTCCGCTGAGCCGAGCACACCCTGAGCACGGGGGAGTTCTGCCGAGAGCAAATGTGGAGCTGAAACATGAAGCATCATCAGGCAGATGTACAAGGATGTACAAGTTTTAGCTTAAATGCTTTCTGCATCTAGCATAACATACATGAAGCTAATAAACTTATGCTGAGTTCTGACGAATGAGATCTCCCGGGCTGCACTCTGTCAGAGCAAATAGGCTATGTAGAAACATGTGGCACCTGTTCATGGCCAAGACCAAAACTAGACACGGCAATGTCGCTCCGCAACCTATACTTCTAGTGACCAGCCCGCACAAGCTCCGCACCACGCCACATACGCCGCGACGCCGGCCCAAAACGCCGAAGACGAGGCGAACAAAACGACCGGGCCTCGAGGCAGGCACGGGTCTCGGGATTCGCCGCCATGCTCTGCGCCAAAGACTGGAAGATTTGATCCTCAGAGCCCCGGCAGCAGCGGTTTTTGTTGCCAGGACGTGGGAAGCGTACTAAGTCATGGAAGGGCCATAGAAGCTGGGAAGCATTCCAGATTGCACTGGAATAGGGGAAGAGATTCCAAGATTTGATGAGATCAATCTCAAAGCATTCTAGAGCAAACCACCAACTTCTTCACCCTCAAGCACTCCAGCCCATCATTGCAACCCAAGGCACAGCTTTCTGTAGCTCTTTGAAGCTGCTCTGTGGGACATTTTGACTCTTCAACAATGGCGACAGCTTCAGCCACATCCTTGAGTGTGATTCTGGTGTGTGAACTCCTTTTAGAAGTGCCTCCGAACTATAATTTGCTGAAGTACATACATCTGAGAGCCGGGGTTTTGTTGCTTTCACCTCAGTGGGCTAGTAGAAACAAGGCCTTACTACTAGTAACAAGTGCATCGCTTCTAGTAACAAGTGCCTTACTAGTAGTAACAATGTTTGCTTCTAGCTTAGTGTTTCACGTTAATCATTCCACCTTTACAGCTTTTCTTCCTTTGAGCGACGTGAGGCCTGACCTCAATACGCGCTGCGAGAGGAACAATACTTAAGCTTGATTTCGGTTTCAACAAGCATGTTTTTCTCAACGGGATGTCTGTTCTGTCCGGCACTTGCAAAGGATTGGATGATTGGATCTCTCCAAAATACTCTCAGATGTGTCTCCATCAACCGACCATGGAAGAACAACACCAAACAAGTTGCCAAACATCCCAATGCCTGCGAACACCTCCAAACAAAGAACTCACTCAGCTGACAAAGTTCTAGGCAACACCCCGAAATAAACGCACCATTCTTCTCCTAGACCATCCGTGTTGCCTCAATCTACAACGAAAAAATGACAGACATCCCCGCGCCAAGCATCTGTTGACATTCCATGAAGGCTCCCAGGTTTCGACCTGTGTTGGGTGTATCCCACCCTGCGCCCAGTCGGCCTGTTTTGGATGATGGGGCCGATTCAATTGCAAGCCGTTCCAACCATCTCCCTTCTTTAGGGCCGTTCTCCTTCGGTGCTACCGTCGGCTCTACCAGTAAGTTCGGACACACCCCCAAGGTAGATGCGACATTGACCGATGGTGAGCACGGCAAAAGAGCCATCGATGCTCGTTGCCACGGGAGGTGATGGTGATGGTATGGTTTATGCCTCGCCCACACAGAGAAAGTCCACACACGAAACACGTGGATCCCGAAAAAGAGGCTTCTGGGGCAAAACTGCAAAGCTAGTCCTATCCAACTTGATGACTGCAAAGTATGTTGCTGCTTGCCTCTTCTATTGATCAAACATCCTTTAAAAATGAACAAGTAATGCAGTAGATATCTCCATCAACAACGAGGTTTCTTCTCGTTCATGGATCATCTACACAGCTAGGCCACTAGGCCGCATGAGCTCCATACAAACCGCTGGATATTATACCCCGTACTCCCAAGCCAAAGCTTTCGCCCAGCGGCGCATGAGTCGCAAGCGTCGTAGCCAACTTTCTGCCAAGTTCTTGTAGAAGCCGCCTCAGGATGAGTTCATTGAAGCATACTTCAAGAAACTTTTATCGGAGAATAGACAGCCTCCACAGGAAGGATGATGGACCATATTGAAAAAGCTCTGCAAATCCAATTTGCAATTCTGAGTGTCTATGAACTGATTCTCAACGGTTTTGTTACAAATCATGCCAACATCGACCTTCCCCCTCTCAGGATCCTGGACCGGAGAGAGAGGGACCTTTGTTGGAAAAGCTCGAATGATTCACGCTCGGAACTTGCTCCCAAAAGGTTCGGCTCGGAGACGGTGGCTCGCACAACTACTGAGTGCAGCAACTGCTGATGACTGATGCGCCGCGTTTGTCTCCAGGACCGGGGGTAATCTTGATCAGGAGTTCCGACAGCTTGGCCCCCCTGAGTGGCGCTTCCCACCGAAAGCACATGCTCTGCCCAGCGGCCCAAGAAGAAGACGTCCCCCGATGGTGGATTCTGCTCGGAAGCGATCTGGCACGGACGCTGGAGAAATGCGAAGATTGAGGATTGTCCCGTGGCCAAACCAAGATGGCACTTCTAACCAGCTCCATTGGCAGCTTAGGCTTTGCCAACCGGTCAGGACAATTTGTGGATTGTCCAGGATGACCCAATCTTCCCACCGCCACCAGACAATCTGTGAAGTTCCCATAGGTTCCCCATAGATCCATTCCACCCCAAGTCTACTGCAAAGCCCGTTCTTCCCTGCTCTAGAATCACTTCTGTTCTCTTTCTCATTGGATAGGTAGGAAACAGCGACTCCGATATGCATCTGTTCAAGGCTAGTTCTTGACAGAAAGCCCGTCTTAAACCATAGAATCATCTGGAATCATCTGGAACTCATATATCGCTCCAAACACAAAGCTGTCAGAAAACATATCAGGACCTTCAACGATTCGACTCGCTTCTCTCACCGAGAAACGCATCCGGCCAACGCATCGATCCATGGCCTCTCCATCTTGCCGGTTGAAGAGCTGCGGGTAGGGCCTGGAGCGATGCAATGCCGTTTCCAGCTGCCGTGCTTGGGAGTCCAACTGCTCCTCAGTGCGACAAGCAGGTGCACAAGCTCAGTCAACAGACTGGACGTACCCCACATCAGCCTCTGATTTTTTGTTAAATGTCGTTTGGAAAGGTCATGCCCCGTGTTATTTGTTGCAGGTTTCTGCCAATATGTGCTATCTGTTCCAGGATGGTCTAGTTGTCAGATCTTTCCTTGCATTGGTCCACAGTTGAAGTATCAGCAACCAAAGATGTATTGTCTGTGGTGGATACTCCGCTACGATCTGACTGATGTAATCATGATATATGTATATATATATAGTCGCAGCAAGCAGGAGTGATGCAACCCCCCCACTCCACTTCCTTCTACTCGCTCAAGGGACAAAATGCAATCTTTTGTCCCGAATAGATGTGGCACAGCTTGGCATTTCCTGGGCTATCATGGACCATCTCTGCCCGAGGCTCTGCCAGTACCGCTGCTGGCACCACTGGGCCTGTGCCCTTTGTGGAGATGGGCAGCCTGCACAACGCAGGCGGCAACGCAGGCGGTCTACATGCGGTCTACATGGGAAAACCAGGATGAGTGGAGCAGGGATTTCTTCATGCCGTTCTCTTCTTTAAGGCACAAACAGTCACTGTACAAACAATGCAGGCAACATGTGAGCAAGTTGTGCGGGACGGACATCAATATTCCAAATGTGCTAAGATATTGTAAGTAAGGTCTACGAAAATATCATAGCCAAGACTGAGAAGGAGAGTGGCTTGAATATGGACATAAGTATGAGGGTCATCCCCAATCGAGAAGGTGCAACTCCTTTCACTGGTGTGGGTGCTTTCAGTCCGTACATGAATTGGAAGACTCATCTACCACTGAGACTTATACTGAATCGTACGATGATTGTCTACCGTGATTCTTTAGACTCCTTCCACGTCCCAAACAATTTTCGACTTTCCTCACAGCCCTCCATCATCTTCAACAAACCGCCGGCCTTTTGGTTAACACCTTCCCGCTCATTCAGGCCTCTCTTGTGCCCAAGCAATCACGTTGCAAAGTAAATTTCGCATCTCATGGCTTTCGCGGCTGGCTAACCTCGGACCGATCTGATCTGATCTACGAGATGATCGAACCTGGATTTCCTGTGTTGGAAGAAATCGGATCTTATAGGGTGGAAAAGGAGTAAGGAGTGTGCCGGCTGCCAAGTGCAAAGGTGAGCTTGGGGCTCCCACCCAAGGTGTCCATTCCTGGTGTCCAAATACTAAACGATAGCTTGACGGAAAACAGATCAACATGAACAACAACACAAGCACACAAAAACAACAAAACAAAACAACAACCATAAACAAACAAGAGCCACTCGCGCTCGCATCATCAGGGTCGAAAAGAAAAGACACAACACAATCAGAACAACGACCGACAACACCAATGACAACAATAACCACAATGTGGGTCCAGGCGTTGTTGCGGCTGATCAAAGGAACCAACAAAAGGTAATATGTCTTTCTTCGCACGCACCTCCACAACTCCAAACGAACACAAGTTCAACCTATTGTCATTGACAATAAGCACTTGGAAGCTCACAAATTCTTTCAGGTGCACAACTGTCAAGTGAATCATTGACAACCTTGGCACACCAACCAGTAGTTCGCTCCAGTTCGGATCCCAGTGGCGCATACTGTCTGGCCACTTTGGCATGGTTATCCAGGACGCCAGCTCTAAGGAGCCTGGTTGGGCATGCGAGCGACACGCATTGATCAAAGGGTAGAGCAGGGACGCTACTAGGGGCTCCTGGCCTTACTACTAGGAGCAAGGACGCTACTCGGAACAAAAAGGAATGCAAATTTAGTTATCAAAAATTAGAGCACAGAAAGACCTGCAGTTTTTTGAAACACATGGCTGTGGGGCTTCCTCACCTCATTCAGGGACCTTAGGACCTCGGAGTAAAACAATCGCATTATATAGTCTAGAAGTCCAAGACTGTTTGAAAAATGGTCTTTAGGTCACTCGAAAAATAGCTTTTGGACTTCCATGGTACACACATATGTATAATATATATATATATATATATTTGTACAATTATGTAATAGTTATTGTATGTGATTAAAACATGATGTGAGGTGTCTTTGTATCTCTGGCAGGGGGGGCCGGCTGAAGGCCAGTCTTTCTTCCTCACGAGTCACCAACCTACAGAGCAATCATCACTTCAACCCAGCAGACTTCCCTTTCCCAAGGGCGAGCCCGGCGAGCCCGTCCCCCCCCAAAAAAATGACTGCCAAAAAACCACCATCAAACCGCTCCCTGGCGCCTCCCGAGGCTGGTCATGGTGTCGTTGGGATCGAAGCCGGGTGCGTCACCTGAGGCATCGCCGCCTGGCGCGGTCACGGTGTCGATGATCGACGGACGGGAGGGGATTTGTTTGGGATGGGTTGTTGGAGTAGTTTCAGGGTACTTGAAGGCGTGCTTTGGGTATTTTAGAGATTCTTGATTGAAAAAACATGCCTGTCCCTTTGCTGCTCTTCGTGTGTGCGCGGAGTGTGCATGGCCAGGTTCATGCGACGAACGTGATCGATCCTGCCTTTCTGATGGTTTTCTTCGAAGCCGAAGCAGTTCGCCGAAAAGTCACGCGGTTTGATGTTCACTGGGGTGTCGAAGAGGTTGCTCCAAACCTGAGTACAAGGGAGTGGACAGGGATTGGAGATCGAAAGGGATTGGAATTGGAGCGGTTAGACGCAGTTGCCACAGCTCGAAGCAACTCTCACGTTTTGAGGATCCAACCGCTGGAGATGTGTATGAACGGTGTGTATATGAACGACGCCTGGACATTGGCACAGTCCAAAGTTGTATAATTGGGAGAGTGCATGTGTCTAGATGTACAGTAGATCACTGTCCAAGATGTGCAAAGGATCAACAATTGCTTTATAGATGAAAAGATAGGATTTGCATCCACTGTACGGGTGATTCTAGCGGTCTTGGATTAAACTCAGAATGCTGCCTGGACAGCAAAGTCTTAACCCGACGAACTCTTCAGAAAAAGAACTACCGAACACAAAACGGTATGCTCTTCATGGACAAACTCTTGTAATTACTCTCTGTCAACCACCAATTGTTATCCTCCCCTATGCATTCTTCAGCGGATCAAACATCCTCCGTGGACAAAACAACCTCTGTGGATACAGTAAAACAAAGGACCAATTGGTTATTTTTGCTCGAGGTCGTTTGCACCTAACACCGAACATCTCCTCTGCACTTGACAAAAGTCTGGAATTCAACGGCCGCTAACCTACAAGTCCAGCAGGAAAAGACCAAAATCATCCAAAATCCTTTTGAAGGCCCATTGGGGCCTGGTTGAAGACTGAGCTCTTCTGCACATGTTGCATGCCACCATTGAACTGGAGTTCAACACCACTTTTCTCACCCTTCATCAACCCTGATCTGAACTCAGACTCGCGATTTCAGACAGAAAAAAGAGACGCATGCAAGCAAAACCATCCTTAAGGTTTAACCATCAAATTCACCCTTGTCTCAAAGTACTCTCTCAAACCGTTTCATCTCTTCAGATGTCTGATCAGCGTCTCGTCTCGTCCTCGACTCCTCTCGCACCGCTCCAAGCTGCATGCGCTTGTGGTGGACTGTAGGGCACCAGGGGCACCTTCCGCCCCTCGCGTTCCGACATGTCGCCCTTGGCCTCGGAGGAAATACATTGGACTCCCAAAAAGACCGGTGAGATCAAGTCAGACCAGTTACGCTTCGACATGGTTGAACAGTGTTGTATATATTATATAACACTATAACACTATATACGGTTGAATACTTTGAATAGCAAAAAAGGCTTGGATGCTTGGTTCATCTGGGAACACGACATTGAGAAGACGGGTCAAAGGATCGTCTTAACAGTAAGTCTTTTTCATGTCCGAATTATCTTTTTCATTCACCTCCCACATCACATCTCTGTCCCATCGCCGGGCTCCGGTGTTGGGGCCACCGAGGTGCGTTCAGGCACATGATGGATTGCACCATGAAGAGCTGCCGAAAGACTTGTCGAAATGCGTTGATCCTTTGTCCTCGGCTGGGGCGGTTTGGTTTGGGAAGAAGCCCTGGGTTCCAAGAAGCCCGAACCCTACTGGTGGACAAAGCGATTTGGCTCCTCTGGAGACTTGAAGTTTCAAGGCACACAAGAGACAAGAAACGCATGGCCAAGGGCAAGCACTGGCAAGCACCGCAGTGAAAAGCCAACTACATCCAAGTGACTCAGTAGTCGCTGGTGGTCCTGACACAAGAATGGTTGTGAGTCTTTTTTCTCCGCTTTCTGCTCGGTACTAGGAACAAGAGCATTACTATGCATTACTACTACTACTAACAAGAAGTTACTAGTGGCTATATAAGTGCATTACTCATTACTCGTACCACAACAAGTCTTCTTTCTTTCTTTCTTTCTTTGTGCTCACCAAGTCCAACAAGGTCTCACCACCTCTGAGAGAATCGTGTTTAAACAATGAACAGGCTTGTTTTGATGCCACCGGCCAAAACAAGGTGGACAACAAACCTTGGAAGCCCTCTGAAGCATCAGCGCAAGAATCCAGGGCTGCTTTCATAACAAATTCTGCGGCTCTGTCCTGGGCGCTCTTATCAAGTGGAAGAATCGAAGGGAATTGGATCATGTCTGGAAGAGCATGCCGCTCCTTCACAGTCGATATCAGACTCTCCCATTGGCACAAAGCATCCAAGCCGTGGCAATGATAGGTCCAAACCTCGAAACCTCGCTTCCCAAGGTCCGCAGTGCGTTCTTGTGAATTTCAATGGCTTCGACAAGGAAGAGACTGAGAATGCATTTTACCCTTTCCACCTTCTCCTTGTCCAAGCCATTTAAATTCGCTCCAGCCACTTCTTCCAAGGCGTTCAAGCAGAAAAAGTAACATTGGCAACCTCCTCCTTGTCCAAATCGTTTGGCTGCACTTGAGCCTCTGGCACATGCTCACTTTCTCATCGCTTCGTATTTTCTCTCCACAAAGTACACGTCAAGAAGTATCTTTAACGAATGTCCCGGCATTCTTCAGCACCCATGAAGAACATCTGTGCTGAAGACGGGGTCCTTTTGGCGAGCCGGCAAGTTGCAAGGGAAGCCCCCTGTGATGCGTTGTGAAGGCGTTTTTTTTTCGCGGTTCCTCCGGGAGCTGTGCATACCGCCTTTACCTTGTCTCCATGGCAAGGCGCTCAGCTGAAGCTGAAGGACCTGACACCCACTGCTGACAGCTGGGCCTAGCCCAGCTGTCCGCAACAAGTGGCCCGGCCAGTGCGTTGACCCAATCATTTGACCCTGAATCCATGTCACACGGTCATTGCTGATAGAACTGCTGCGGTTTTGCGATATGGTTATATATTATATAACCAACACCAGCACCCACTGCGAATCTGGCGACTGGCGGAGTTGGTGTGTGTCAACAGGTCATCCACACGGAAACACGAAAAAAACTCTATATAGTAGCCTATGCAAGTCAGATTGACCTCATGTTGCGGGAGTTGGTCATACAAATGCAAGCTAATTACTCAAAAACTTGAAAGAAAAAGAACACAAACAACCAACAGCGCCGTTCACCGCTCACGTGCTCAGAATTCTGCTCCTTGGGACATTGGCTCACAGCTCGAAGCGTGAAGTGTGCCTGACCACGTCGAGCGCTTCGACTTCGAGCGAGGCAGTCAGTCTGTTCGACCGTTCGAAGGATGCAGAACGGACGGGAAAACAGCATGCCGGAGGCAGACTTAGAAAACACCCCTTGTTTTGACTCATTGTTAGTACCTCTATTACACAGTACCGCTAGCCACTAGCATCCACTAGCCAGTAAGCACACAGGTTACAGGTGCTTCTAGTCATTTCCTGGACATCCATGCCATCAAAACCTCATGTGCCACGCGCCTGTCGCTGCAAATCTGCAATGCAAACCAACACCGGCGACTGGCGCAGGCGTTTCTCCACTTCCTGTCCATCGCAGTGAATAAACCAAATTTGCTCAACACATGACTTCAGCTGAAACAGGATCTTCGGAGTCTCAAGGATGTTCTTTGAAATTAGAGAAGAACTTCGGTCTGGTCGTTCATTGAAACCATGGTCAAACATGGCAAACATGACTTCAAAACACCCTATGAAAGAAGATCCTCATCGGTGACCTATCTGGTCCATTCAACCTCCCAAGCAAAAAGAAACGCAGGTCATTCAGTCACCAAACCAAAGGCCTCGGAGCAAGCTTGTTTAATTTCCCATGTTTGGCCTCTTCTCAAGTGGGGGATCTATAATTATGTCGATTTATACAAGTTCACATCTTCGCAAGAGAAGGGAACTCTGGCCTTATCCCATTCCTGTGCCGCTTTCCAGAAGACTCGCAGCTCTTGTAGCTTGTTGCGCAGCTCATCCATGCGCTGATTCGCAGGCCTCTGGTTCGTCCGAAAACGGTGTCGAAGAGCGATGTCTCATGACCGTGAACCCACCGTTACAAAGGCGGGCCACCCAGATCGGTGTATTTTTAATGATACAAACCATGATCCTTCAACGTTTATGAACATTCAAAAAGGAAGAAAACAGACCCCGCCCCGCTGGGTTGCCCAAACAACTCTTCTGGGTGGATCGCCCATGAAAACCCCCATCCCACCCCCCCACACTGCCACACTGCCATGCCGACCGCTTCTACCCCCGGCCTGGGCTCTGTGGAGGGGTCGCTCTTGGATAAAAAATGGAAGCGGTTCATCAACTGGTTCCGACCTGGGAGGCCACGTCGCCGAAGGCCACGAAGGCGACGGCATCGCGACGACGAGTTCGGAACATCAAGGGGGCACATCGCGTGAGTACAACGCGATGCGATGGGACGCGAAGCGAACTAGAGGCGCTCCTGGCGTTACTATATAGTAACTCAAGCAGCTACTCGGTACAAGGCCATCACTAGTAGGCCCAAATGTATGACGCGAGCACGAGACTTCCGAGAGAGTCGGAAAAGATGGTGGAAAAAACGACTGTTCAGATGGAAACCCCTGCAAAAAGGACCTATCGGAAAATTAGACCGAAACCGTTATCAATAAATGGATATAAATGGTTTTGTTGGGGGAATGCACTTATATATTATCCACTTCTTGGCTTCCCTTACAGTTTTATATATTTGGAGCTTAAGATCTTCCAAGAGACTATCCAACTGTCGATAGCGCTGTTCGAAGCCCGCCAGTGCAGAATCCACATCATGGAAGGAGGAAAGGCCACCTGACTGTGGTTAGGGACGGCAGCATGGATCTATTTTCGGCATGGAAAGGACAGTCTGAGACTGAGACATTTGAGTGCGAACATCAGCTTCTGTATGGGTCTGTATGGGTATCTATGAGATGAAAAGTCAGTACTAGAGTTAGTAGAGAGTCAGTATCTATTATAATATATATATATTTACCTATAGTCAAACGGGAAGTTCTTTCGCCGCATGCACAACCTTGTCCCTCCCAGGCATGCTCGCTTGCCTGCTGTGAGCTGGAGCGAGGACGACTTCGCCTGCGTCTTGAAGTCCGGTCATTCAAACAAGTTCGGACTTCTTTCTCCGGATGTCTTCCACATCATGCCAAAAAAATTGGGACAGGCTCCGAACGGAATCGTGAAGACGGAACTCTGAACCCAACTAGAGCTTGAGGGTAGTGTTCCAGGCAGGTGTGTCGCTGCTTCTGAAGAACATATCCGCAATTTTGATGGCCATTCCGCACTGAATTGGCACCAATGCCACTGCTGCCACTGCCACTTCCAGCGACTCACGCGCTTCTTTTTCGCGCGCGACTCGCGCGCGACGCGTCGACTCACGCATCGCGCGCGACAGCGTCGCGTGCCTCCTTGGTCGTCCGATGGGAGTTTTGCTGTTCCTTGTCCTCTGCGCCCATATCGTTGGCACCTGCCGAGATAAGACGACAAAATCTGAGGCCAAGGAGTTTGCGAAGCTGATCTCTGACATACCAGAAGTGGGACATGTTTTTGGGTTCCAGTGAAAAGGTGATGACAAGATGCATTAAGATGCCAAACCTTTCAAGCAGAGCACAACTTACACATAAGACACACACACACAAAGACATACGTGATCCAAGCTATATCCGAGCATTCATCACCAGAAGCCACACCAAAAGACTGAGTTCCATTGATCTCTGGATGCCTACGCGCGTGAGGCTACAGCGTGCATCGATGGCCAGCGCACCGCTGGGAGCGAGCTGCTCCTGGTTTTAATGCGAGTTGCTGCAGCGAGCGTAGTAGGAACGCACAAAACGGGTGGATGAAACATTGATGAAACAGTCTTGGAAATAGAATGAACAAATCGTTTGAGTGATGAAACCGTTTGGATGATGAAACAGTCTTGGGAAAGACAGTTTGGGATGATGAAACAGTATGAAACAGTCTTCCTACACTGCTTTGGACACCAACATCCATCGAGGCTAAAAAGACACAAATGGACTACGTGTTGTCAGCTGGTTCTGTGATTTTTAGGGGGTGGTTGAGGCTCTTCACCCAAACACATTCGGCATGTGTCGATTGAGAAGGGCTTCAGCACCTCATGTGATGACCAATCTGGTTCCATGTGGAAGAATCCAGCCAAGAGGTGAACACCATCTGGAGACCTTCTATATAATATATATATATAGATTATAGTGACCCTAGTCGATTCCTTTTTTCCAAAACAGGTCAGTGCATTTATAGAACAGTGGCAGTTCAAACATGTTCACACTAAACACTGGTTGACTTGTTCTTTTAATGTGCACGCCCGCATCCACTTCAAGCCCAAACCCACGCTGAAAGCTTTCTATTCTGCCATCCCACACCCTCTCCTCCAGCTCTTGTCGCGTGGCCGCTGCTGCCTACATAGCCAAAGAAAGCATGACTTTCATGTGGAAGGAAAAGACAGGAAATGGCAACTGCCACCTCCAAGCACACACACACACTGCGCAATACCTTACCACAGGTGGCCAAGTTGTATTTCAATCTTTACCATCTTCATCCCCCTGCGGTTGGGGGGGAGGTTGAGACACTAAAGTAACCAACACCAACTACTTGGGGACAAGACGGTCACCATGTGGGCGCATTAAATTGGTACCATCATCGTAATCCATCTTGCCCTGACAGATTCAGCTTTGAGACCTCTATAGAACTTGTTGGAAACACCCAAACTCCGGAAACAACAAACAAAAAACACACTTCAAACTTGTGGACCCTCCAAGTAATCCCTTCTTTCGATGCGACATTCGACATTCCCGTCGTGCGTCGAAAAAGAACCACCGCACCGGCGCGTGACTGACTTGGGCCGCCTCCGCCACTGCCAAGGACTCCTCTCGCACCATCTCCTGGCACAAATCCCAGACAATCTCAGACATAGACGCCGTCTCGTACAAACCAGTCTATGAATATACATTACACTAAAGCTAAACAAAAAGTGCCAAGTCTATGAATAACATGGTGGCCAAGTGCTATTTTGTTTCGCATGCTAAAATCCGTGCACAAAAATGTAAAGAAACACTAATTATTCTTTGTTCAAGCTTGTTTGGAAGTTTAGATTCTTTTCTTGACCACCCGACCTGAAATGGCCCTGAGCGCGCAGGTAAGGTCCGGAGGACCTGCGACCGGGCAGTCAGCGGCGAATGGCGGGAATGGTGAAGATTTGTCCATGCAACTTCAACCATTTTGGGATGAAACGGCAGATATGGATGGCCATTTTTGTTGACTGTGTCACATCCTTTGAAGGATCTGTTGTTCAAGTCTGTTTGGGAGACCGTCTCGACCGTCTCGTCCGAGTCGCCGGGGCGGTCGACGGTCGGTGGGTGTATGGGGCTGCTCGGCCACTCAGAAACAGGATCTACCAATAGACAAACCGATTGAAAAAGACCGCAACATGTGGTCTTTGAACTTTGCTCAACTTTGATCTCAAACACCACTTTCTTGATGGATTTGCTCTGTCCCAACAAGCCAAGTCCCAAATCCCCTTGTGGGAATGGTAAGTGTCGCCATAGGCTTCACCGCGGCCTGGTCCAAGCTCTCTTGCAACTCCTGGAAGACATCGTCCGTCTTCAAACAAAGGAACTGCATGGTCCCTGTGGACAAGCCGCCATAGGCATGCCTCAGTACACTCATGTCTGGCCGCGACTGTGCATGCTCTCTTTGACACTAAGATGAGTTCAACTCGTCAGCAAACGAGAATCATCAACATGGTCGTGTTCCAAGCAAACACATGGAACACTGCAACAGGAACACCAATGTAAAAAAAAAAACACGATGATGCCACCACTCCCAGCTACATCCACCTACTATACCCAGCCTACCAGGCCCCTATCCGTCCCCCCAAATGGTCAGCCACGTGGCCCCACACCGTGTGCACGTCCCTGCTCCCGGCGCGCCGCTTGAGCGTCGCTCTGGGCTTCTTCGCCTCGCCATGTTCACCACCACCGAGACAGACCGGTTTCGAAGCTGGCGAACATACCAAGCCCACTGGCATACAAGTCCGGCCCTAAGGATCCACATACCTTCTGAGGTACGGTGATTGGACCCTCCAAGCCTACATACAAGGGTCTCCAATCACCGTACCTCGGAGGATATGTGCATCCTTAGGGATAGCTAGATCTTCCAACTGTGCTACATTTCAGCCTTTTGGATCTCTTTTGGCTGGTTTTATTGATGAGAAGGGCAGACATGGTGCACGGCAGTGCACGGTCCTTAGATGAACATTTTCCTGTCATCTTCCAAGTTGATGGACATTTCCACACATCTGCGGAGAATATCCAACAAATGCAACCGGAAACTTCAATTGTTTGAGCTCATTATATTGTCTATGTGTAGGATTTTGCAACACATCTTTTTGGCAACAGGGAAGGCCCTTGCCTGAAGGTACACTGTGGTCAACTAACACTGACACTGTACGATCTCTGGATGGCTAAGGCCTTGATTGGAAAGTGCTTTGACCAACTGCAGTGCCAAACGTTTGTTGTAACATAGTAAGGATTATTTGTCTTTTGGCTTTACCCTAAACATAAACACGTGGACATTCACCAGCCCATGTGTTCCGCTATGCCGCCAACCCTACATCAGTCTTGACACGGACCCATGTCCGAACCAGCGGCTCTCTTCGGACGGTTTCTCGTCGTGCTCTGCTTGCTCCTGCAGTTCGCTGCGGTGAACGAACACCGTTTCAGAGCCTTCTTTTGCACCCCACGAAACACACGAGAAGAAGGACCGTCAATGCATAAGACAACATGAATGATCAAGAATCCTTAGAAACATGATGAACGGATAGAGAGAGAGAGAGAGAGAGAAAAAAAGAGGGAGAGGGGGGGGAACCATGAGGGCTTCACAATGAATGGCACTCCCTGACTGAGACATCCACCTATAGCTTTCCTAATACCCCTCTCAGTCATTGTCCAACGCTCTCATCGACGCTTGGAGGTGCTCCAACGCTCTCCAGCTCGCTCCGCGCTCCGTTCGCTCCTGGAAGCCTAACATGAAGCGCTCCGGCATCTCTTCCACCGAGATGCTTCGGCCTCGGCTTCTTTTTGCTCACCAGCATGCGTGGGGGTAGGAACTGGGGACATGCTATAGGACTGGGTAAAGAAAGCCAGACTTTGGGGTGAACCAAGATGGCAATGAAAGCAGAGTTCTTGGAAGATTCTTATCCTTTATAAAGATGTGTTAATTGATGTTAGTTGTATATCGAATGGTTGGAAAGATTCTCTGAAAATTACTTTTCAAATCCATGCTGAGTCGATTCTCCATCTGGAATCCATGATTCTTGGAGTAGGGGAGTGAAACAAACCGTTCGGATGTTCTTGGTCGCCAGAAAATGCTAAATAACCATTGAAAAAAAAACGCACCGCTATACACCACTGCTTTTCAGGGTCTTCGATGAACATCTTCACTCTTTCCATCGTCATCATCTCCCATTCCAACAATTACCGCACTCACTCATTTGACCTGCGCAAACCTCAGCTGCACCTTGTCAACGAGTAAGAAAGTGTATGCACTAGACAGTAGAAAATTTCAGGCGTTCTCCACTACTGGACTCCTTAGACATATAGCATCATAACTAGCATCATACAATCATACAGCATCACATAGCTATTCTTGTCTACTAAGAATGAATCACTTGCACCTCCCTTCCCTCACTTCCCACTCCACCACAGTGGAGTGGGGATTCTTTCTCAACTCACCTGCACGCCCGGCCCCCCCCTCCGCAGGCGCCTGCGCGCACGTCGGGCAAGCGCTGGGTGAAGAGGTGGCTCCGCGTCACGGACGCCAAGGCGGCGATGAGCGGCGTCCTCGGTGCGAAGAGCGACGGGCGGCGTCCTCGGGTGGTTCTTTGGTGTCAAAAAAATTACGTGGCAAAATGCAGGGGCAAGTGGTGCAAGCAAGAGTACGAGGACCAAAAAGTGTGACTGTGACTCGTGACTTTTCGTGGTTATTATATAAATGTTAAAAGGTAAAAGGTAAACCTGAGAGGCAGCATAGTTCACCTTCGTCATTCCCCTTGACTGCGTGGAGCACAAGGAACATCAAGGAACATCGGAATCTGCTCCGAAATATTGGACTTTCTAGTTTTCAGGCATGGTTCTTTGTTCTTTTCCCCCCAATTTGGGCGAGTGAATCGACTGGTGAAGATCTTCAGAATGAGAAGAAGGGTCAACCATAAAGATGCTTTTGACTCGGAACCAAGCAGTTCGCATCCCCACGAGCCTTCGACCCAAAAAATCACTTCCAAATGAACCTCTGTATAGCTCAACGTTCATGGCAGTTTTTGCCCATGGCCAGAACATGGAATGCAGCGACACGGTGTTCCATCATCTGTGTGAGGAAACCGCAAAGCAGGCTGCCACAAGAACTTTCAAACACGTTTGTAAGAGGCACAACTGATATAGATAGTGGTGTATATCTCTTGAAACATGTCATTGGCTCAGATTTGCTGCAGGAACTTCAGTTTATACATATATCCTGCCAGTAAGAGCATGCACCTCAGACAGGTGGCAATTGCTGTCGCTCGCTGCGGAACACGTTGATGTTCTCGTAGACATTGCTCAGCAACTCCTGTGAGTTGATTTCATTCACCCTTCGGTCCGTCACAGAAATCCATCCAATGCTCAGCATGACCCAGACCAAACAAATGGGACTGGAATAGTTATACCCAATGAAAATGGCCCATCCATGTAGGTCACTTATAGGTATAACGGTATAACTATTCAGACTATTCCATACAAGGATGGTCTCAGTGATTTTGGTTTAAAGTCCCAAAGCCCACGACAGTCAACGCGGGAACGAGCCATGGCGCGCGGAAAGAACGTGCCCGGTCTCCAGCTCACTGACCATGTCTTCGAAGGTCTCCACGGGCTTTTGCACGCGAAGCACCAACTCGTAGATGTCCTTCGAGCTGCACATGAGCTATGAGTGCTTGGGTGAATATAGAATGTATCTTGTCTGGTGGAACAGGATTTCTTCCACCCACATTTCTCACCCGGAGCGTGAGAACAAGAACGGCACAAAATCTGTGTTGCTTGAGATGCCGAGAGAGTTTATCACTGCCAACAAGACATGTACTTAAAGAGTATAAAGCCACTTGTACTTGCTCTCTTAATATCTCTCAACAGCTATAATTCCTCCCCCCTTATCCTGTCCATATTGGTTCCAATTCTATGGGAATCAAGCGCTTCACATCTTCTAGAAGTCTCGAAGCCTCGCTTGGCGCAGACCAGACGTTTGGACACAGTGACGTTGCCAGTCCTTCCATAGGCGCCTCCCACAGTTCACCTCGAGCACGGTCGAGACATCAAATCATCGACCGTTCTTTCCACAGGGCTCAGAGCACCCTTGAATGGGTGACCCACCCAGTGGACCCATCTGGGGCCGGATTTTTGTTGGATAAATTGTCCCATCATGTCTCATCTCAACTGCTAGCTGCCAACTACTGAAACTGGGATCCCTGCTATCGACACTGCTTTCAGTGCAGAAAGTACACAGCGAGTGCTATGGAACTCAGCGTACTCACTGACGGGTATTTAGGCCAAGCAGTAGATTGATGCCTGAGAGACATGCTCAAAGTTGTCTGTCCCTTTGAAGTTTCGGAGATTGGGCCTGAGTTTTGGATGGTTTTGTGATTAATTTCAGTGATTAATTGAAACTGAGGGTCCATCCTCATGGTTGAACCTCCAAAAAGCAAAGAGCAAACCGCATGACCAAAGGCCGTGAACCAATCGTTTGCGGAGGAGCACCAAAGTTGGGTAGTTCAAGATGTTCTGTCCTCTCCCTTCAAAAAGAACAACACATTGTGAGACGTCAGGAGCGTAGGATGAACAGGTTGACCACTGCATGTTGCTTGTCCCTCCGCTGGGCCAGAAGCCAACCCAAGGCCTAACATCACATTTTAAGATCTTTGGATTTTTCAATGATTTAGATGCGGCTCGATTTCAATCAACCTCAGTAAGTGCACAATAATGCACACCCAGACCCACTTTCACAGCTAGCCTAATCTTATGCTATGCATAGTGGCCTGCTCCAGTCTTCCGCCCAGGAACACCATAGATGTTGGTGGCATAGACGGAGAGGCTCAACAACGCTGGGCTGGTTTGCTCGGCGATGAAGGAGAAATACCTCGCCGGAGTGATGCTGGGCCCAGCTGGATGGGGTTCGGGGCGGCGGTTTCCATTGCTGTCTTGGTGCCTCGGACAGGAGGGCGCTGCCCGGTTTCCGGCAGGTCACAGGTCGCTCTCAAGTTCAAGGCACAGCACAGGAGAATTCACTGCCTGTCAGACCAACCTGTAGTCTACCGTATCTTGATCTAAAAACCGAGATAAAAGATATTCTATATAGAATGATATAGAATGTGTTTTTCCAACACGTGCTTTTTCACCACAACAACGGTATAATATGCAGTAGCTTCACTGTTTTCTACTGTTTGGGCTCCAGGAAGCCTTCGGCATCGCTTTGCGGCCGGAACGAACGGGACCAGCGACACCGACCGAGATGCACCCCACCCGCCGTTTTCACGGCGGACAACGGGAGGCCTCACGTCCAAGGCGAAAGGACCGCACTGGGACAAGGCCCTCATGTTCTGCACCACTTGCCTGGGGATCTTGGAACGAATGAAGGAACATAAAGCCTGGTCAGTCGCGACGGGTGGGTGGGTGGGTGGAGAAGAAAACACTCCAGGTCGGTCGCTGTGGTGCGGATAGAAATGAGATGATGTCCTTTATCTTGAGGCTTGAAACGTCGAGCATCAGGTTTCTTGGGTGAACTTCGCCTTGCTGGAATGTGACAGAAAAGCAAAGCTGAGGCGCAAGGTGCTGACTGATTCAAGGATGTGGAGGGTGCTTTTTAAACACTACAATACACTATGTCCAGTAGCGGAGTGACTTGCTATGGTGATGAATTTGAAGTCGGTCAATTGCTTGAACCAACGCACAACATGGTGACCAGCCGTGAAGAGATGCATCGTCTTTTTCACGCCTTCGCCTCTCTTCCATCGATCTGGCCCAAGTGAAGGCAGGACATCACTACGGAGGATTATAGGAACGCCGGACAAATATTAACATAATGGTTCACCAAGTGCTGCTAGAATAGAGTCTCTATAGGCTCTATAGTCTATATAGTAGGTATAACTAACCCAAAGAACCCAATGCAAACGAAATCAGGCAGGCAATCTCAACACCTGCCGACTCTTCCACTAACGGGTAACTCTTGGGTCCGTGCCATCCCAAACAGTGAAACGCCCAAAGGGCCAGCCAGCCCATCGCGTTCCCTCCCACACATTGATTATGCAGCTCGGGTGGCTCCCACTGCTCGCACACACGTTGGAGATCGGCTAGCCATTCGCAAAGACCCTCTACCAAACCTGGGCGACACGTAGGAGAACCACGTGAGCAGCTAGAACATGTGAGCAAACAAATACTCTTTCAAGTTTCCACAGCCAGAACTCTAAAGTAACATTCCGAGCAGCTCAACTCGTACTGTGTCCCCTGAACCGTGCGCAGAAAGAGCTCCGGCCGAAGCAGCTGCTGCGGTCGCAACAGCTCCAAGAAGCTGCCGGAGCCTATAGTGCAGTTGCGGCGTCAAAAGCAAAAGAGTGTGCATAGTTAATCTTCAAACCTCAGAATGACTTCTTGCAAATTCTTGTGTTGTTGTGCTCCTATATCTATATCATATCTAAATCTTCCATGTCTTTCGACCATCTAAAACATATTATACATCCTCTCTTCAAGTCTGGTGGTTTCCCCACCATCCTTCCCCCGTCTTCCTTCCCGCTTCGGTTACGATCAAGCTCCCCTCCGTCGGGATCTGTTCCCAAGCGGCCATCCACCAACAAGGCCAAGGCCGTATGGAGCGCCGCGCAGCCCGCGCTGCGGCCCTCCACCGCCTCGGCGATGATCGTGGCCAAGGCCTCGGCCAGCGAGCGCAAGCCATGGTCGAACGACATCGTGTCGTGTCGAACGTCTTGGTGTTCGGAAAGAAGAAGAGAAACACTTGACAAGCGTCTCCTGCATGAATTATGAACATGAATCATTATTAAGCCATATTCTATCTGCTCCAGTATGACTATACATCCAAAGCGGCGATGTCCAATCGAAGCCCCAAAGGAGGTAGTGTAGGACTTTGATGAGCATGGTGCAGAGAGAGTGACTGTTCTGAAATTCAAGATGAGCTCAACTGCCAGGTATGAAGTCAATCATTGAGGTTCTGGCTTCTCTCCATGTTGAACTGCAAGCCGCTAGAATTTGGTTGCCCCTATGAGGTGTGCTCAACTGATTCATGGCAACGCACTTGCCAGAACCTTTGTATCGATCAATGTGACATCTCCCCTACGCTTCATGCCTGACTATTCCCCCCAAAAATAACAACCAACCAACACACAGAATCAATCATGGCGATCATTGACCCTTCCTACAAAGCATCTTGTGGTCCAACCTAAGGAGGATAAGGCGGAGACTCTGAAGATTCTGCTGTTGCAGTGACCTACAAAGGCTTAATGAGATGCCCTTGTTACGTTCGTGGCCATGCACTTGTTACTACAAGTAGTAGCTTTGATCTTCCTTTTCCCACTCTTCACCTCATCTCCGAGGCCCCAGACCGAGTCTGCCCTGCGGCCATAGGCATCCGGCGACAAACAGGCGGCCAAGTCCTAGGGAGGCGAGACCAAGCGGGTGTTGCTCCGGCTTTGGTGGACGACTCTTCCAGTGGCCACGACGCCTTCCAAACACGAAGAAAAGCAGTTCCCAAGGGTTAGCCTCAACCGCTAGAGGGTCTTGAATTCGTTTTAGTTCTAGATAACGTAGAGTTGATGCATCGGTGATGACTTGCTTGGCAACAGGACATCTTCATTCACCTGGCGCTTGAAGAAATCTAGTCCTAAAAGCATTCCGGAAACATAAAAACAAAGGAGTGTTAGGAGGCCATTGCTCTCTTAGTTTGGAGGCCATCGCTTCTAGGTTGAAGGCCAAAGGATGGTTATCTAGTGTTCATCCTGGAGGGCGCAACTGCCCCATGAGAGGTATGCAGCACTCACAAGCTAGCATTTGTCCAGCCCCTTGCCTGTCAATAGGGTGGCATGTTTCTTTCTATTTCAAGTGAACCGACCGGGAACGCTTGGAACCTCTCTGGCCCGGCAGCAATGGCATGCAAATGTTATTCGTCCCCAATCCCCAAAAACACACGCAACAAGAAATCACCAGGAGGTCTCGGAACGTCCAAACTTGGATCCAACCTCTCCATGTGCATTGTATACATTTGGACATGGTGGTCATATCTTGTTTTCTTTCATGTCTGCACCATGCTGTTTCGATGCTGCATCCAGGTCGCTGGCGGCAGGGGAGCCACTTGCAAGTTGACTTTGGAGCTCACAATGACCTGCCACACGGAAACGAACGCCGCGGTCTCACACTCCAAATGCACACTCCGAAAGTTCTGAATAGAAACCTGGAAACTGAAGGCACGTAAGTTATTGACAAGGACCTGAACATCTAACTTGACATGTTGTTTCTTTAGGACCACCTCTTCAGCTTCTTGATGAATCCTTGTCACAGTTCTTGGCAAAATGATCCTAGTCTGCCTATGAACAATCACTGATCATCGCTCTGCCAGTGAACCACACACCTTCGCCAAGGAGTAGAAGAGGTTCATCAAAAGCACTGAGATCTTCTCAGGCAGCTGTTGTCGTGCCATCTGTTGCGGCCTCTCCAAGGCGTAATGCAGTCAAAGCTCGGGTTTTGCGAAAACATGCGAAAACAACATACATGCTGCATGCTGCCCAATACATTTGTAGATGGCAGGAACTTCTTTTCAAAAGACCCATCCCCCCAAAATAGTGTCTACTTATCGTCTACTTGATTGGGAAGAAGCTTTCACTTTCACGTCTGCTCAAGCAAGGCAACAAGTAGAGAAGTACAAACAAGTGCTTGAGCCAATGTCCATCCAACGTTGTGAAAACATCATTGACATTGACTCTGGGCCAAGACGTTGTTGAACCATGTTGAACATTTCATGCATATCACATCTCCGACTTCCACTTCCACCACAAACATTCCATTCAGCTTTCCCCCAGATCCATCGCTGGCCGCCCCCCGTCCAGCGCCTGGAGAGCCAAAACATGGTGAAATCCGCGAGGAACGGAGAGTTTAAAGGCGTGAAGTCTCGTTGACCTCGTGCGGTCGGAGAGAGCGCGGAGTCGCAGAAAAGGATTGGTTGGAAGAAGTTGAAAGCTGTTTGCATGGTCCAATGAACTCAAAGGCCTATGCCTCGCAAGACTTTGTCCAACACACACCCTGATTGAAAGAAGAGAACACATCGTCAACGCCACTTACTTTTCAGGAGGGTTACAGAAATTTTGGATCAACAAGACCACTTCAACCACTTGACGGTTCCACCATGTTCCACCATATTGTAGGAACTAGGAGGAACGGCACATGGATTCTGAATGGTGTTCCAAGCCCCGGCTCCACAAGTGTCAGTGATAGCCGCGGCACACTCCGCAGGCACGTGCCCTGTGGCAGCGTCGCCCTCCAAAGGGACGGCCACTGATTGGATCTGCTGGAAGAGGCCTGGAGGGTGGATCTTGCTTGATTCATACCAGTCTTAGTCTTACATGTCTGGAGTTCGTAGCTCTTATGGCGTTAATGGAAGTTTATTGGAATGCTTCACAATGTGAGGATTTCTCCTTGACTCTTTCAAGTAGCCAACACATATTTCAGTGTGGCCGGTTCTCTCTTTGATCTGCCACTATTGAAAGCAAATGGAATGCAACCGGCCAAGCATCTAGCCTCCTGCGTACCATCCATGAAGCGTATGAAGCTGCTTCTATGTGCTTGCGCTAAAGCCTTCCCCTTTCAACCGGGCCCTCACGTAGCGAGTCAACACCCTTCCCCACCTTGGCGGTCCAGATAGAGCCTGCTCAGTATGGCGGACTGCCCCAAGAGCATGGGATCCAGTTGCCGCTGAACCGCCTGCAACCTGCCAAAATGATGTTTGAAGAGATGGCGGTGGAAAATACCTAAAAGTCATCTAAAAAATCCTGTGCCCTTCTCCAAGATGGAAATGAAGTGAATGAAGTGTCAAAGTCCTTTGAGTCCTTTGAGTCCTAGGACGGCATCATTCATATATGTCATGAAACCAGCGTTCAGGTCTTGAGACCCTCGTCGGCCACGTCGGCCACGTCGCCTCCGCTCCACGAGATGAAAGCTACGCCGCAACTGAGCATCCAAGTCGCTGACCTCAGCGAAAGGACGATCGACCGCCCGAGGACGGTCGGTCGACCGTCCATGGCGCGACCCGCAAGGTTGACCACTGAAAATACTTGTTACTACTACTGTTACTACTGTTACTTAATTCTGGTTGGTGTTTCAGCCCACTTGAACAATATTGGTCAGAGTCTGGTTGGTGTTTTCAGCCCACTTGAACAATATTGGTCAGAGGGCCCAATCATCCCCAAGTAAGGGTTGAAAATAAACATATCCGAAACCATCACCTAGAAATAGTACTTAGTACTTGTTGCCATGAAAACTGTGGAGCAACGGGTGTATTGCATCCATGAGTACTTGTTGTGGAGCTGAGCTCCAAAGAAGTCAACATATGCTTGTCATGAACTCTTCAGTGGTTTCTCTCAGTGGCTGTTAAAAAAGTGCACTGCACCGGATATGCACAGTTCTATCCAACCCAGGAAACCTATAGGACCGCCTTAAGCTCCCCCCCAAATCTGTGCAACAAAAATCCAAGGATCCTTGTATTTTCCTGCGAGTCCTTCATTTTGATTAACTGCCTTCCCCATTTGGCTTCAAGTTCCCCTCTTTTTCAGTCCAACGAAGCGGCCTTGGTCGACCTGGCTCCGCCGCCCACTCCCTTCCTCTCCGAGCCGCTGCCGCGCGGTAGCTGGGGCTTTTCGCCAAGGATCGTTGCAACGCCGCGGAGGCATCTGGGAGCGCGAAAGTGGAGGTAGCTTTTGGGTCGTGGAGAAGAGGTGTTCAATGTGGAGAAGATCTCTCATCTCACGCAAGAAGTTCAGAACTCACAGTTGCATAGAACAGTCAAGTAGATGGATCTCAAAAGCCACCAAAAAGCTCCTATAATCTCCTATACCCATTCCTACTCTCTCCGTGTTGTGTGGTCATTCTTCTTTTTTGTGTGGCCGCGGAAAGCCGCACGCGTCCGGCAGGTTTGGACACTTCTTCGGGGCTCGGACATTTATCCTCCTTCTCTCGCTGTTCCATGATCTCCGCAATCATGTCTTCCACAACCACCTGTGAAACATGGGATCTTGGGGAACCCGAAGTCTTTGTGGAAGAAAACCAGTGAGTGCTTTGCTTTTAATCAAAACACCACCGCCCTTGCTGAGCGCTGGTGGTCTACCCTGTGGCTGGTCACATCGCCTAAAGGTGAACCTTTGGAGGAATTGACTGAAGTTGTTTAAGATCCTACAAGGGAGGATCTGAAGTGAGCGCCCCCGAAGTCATGGGAATCATTTTTTTTTCAATCTAATAGGCTTTCCCACGGTCCCTCCAACAGTTTGAAGTCGCTTTTGCTTTTACAGCTGACCTATACCCAGGTCGTCACCACACTTCCCTCGCCTCATCACTAGGTCTGCCAGGCTGCCTAGGTGAGCAAATACAGCACTGTCAGCGTGTGAGATGGCTTGGGGTGCTTGGGTGGTTGTAACAGCTGGAGGACCCCTGTGAGGAATTGAAGTCGGCTCCCCGGTTTTGGAAAACCGCCCAAAATCAATCCATCTAGTTTGACCCTTTCTTCATGTACACTCTCAAGACAGAGTCCCAATTCTAGCACCCCTGAATGCCAACACCCTGGGTACCCCAGCCACACAATGGGCGCGCGCCCGGCGGCAGCCACCACGCCGTCGAGCAAGGCGTTGAGATGGGCCTGCTAGCGTCGTTACTGACTAGTTGATGCTGTGGGGTCAAATAATCAAGCACAAATTGATGTATAGATAAAGAGCAACAAGAACATCATCAAACATTTGACCAGCTTGAGGAGGAAAGTCCTTGTCTTCATATTCTGGTCATTTTGCGGTCTTTGTGGATGCTAGATGGACAAGAATATTGCTAGATGATGTCATGATCTTGGGCATGTGGAGATGGATCAACATCGAGTCGACATGAGTCGACATGAGTGAAACCTAGCAGCTAGCAGCTAGGGGCTTGGGGAACTCCCCAAGTTCCGGCGACCTGTTCTTTCGAACCGCTCCGACCCCGAACTGCCACGAATCGCTCCGAACATCTCGACCACTTCGGTCCCCAGACCGACCCGTGGTCCCCAGTCGCCTGGACATCCGAATGGTTGGGACTGGTGGCCAGCTTGGCTTCACCTGCAAAGGAAGCGTTGGAAGCGTTGACCCCTGTTCCATGATGTTTCGTGCAAAGCGAGGTGAAAGAAGAGGAAGAAAGAAGCTGCAATCACTCAGTCATCTGAATCAACTGCAACAAGAGCCATTCTATTCAGATAAATTTGAGCAGCTTTTCATCTTGGCAGTGTGAACGTCTGTCGTATCTGAGTCTTCTTCAGCCGCCAAAACATCTGCAGCACTTGGAGATCATGGCAGACTTTGTTTACAAGAGGCTTCTGTCCAATGTACGACATCTACCAACATTTATTGGTTGCCTCCCGATAAATATGGGGCCGGCAGCTTTCAGTTTGCCGGATGGGCAGGTGGATGGTTTCGGATGCTTTTGGATGTGGGATGTGTTGCCTCTGCAGACCTCTGAGGTCTTCCAAAAGACCGACCACAGACCCACTGCAGCCTGTGGCATCATCTGCCACAGGCATAGCCATGATGCGGATCCTGGCGAGATGTCACTACATGCCACTACTACGTTGGTCAAAACAAGCTCTTGATTGCATGAAGATTCAAGGAAATCCAGATTTTAGGTAAGTGAGACTGTTCAAAGCTCAGCACTTCTGTCTGTGGCTTGTCACTCGCAGATACTCGTAGCACAGTCCAGATACACTTGTGGACAACCCTATTCCCTCTGAAGTTGACCCGCAAACCTGCCGCACGACTGACAAAGGTAACATGCTGCTTTTCCCCTTCATCAGCGAGGTCTATCAAATCCCATGTCTCCAACCAATGAGTCAGATGTTTCGTCTCCTCGCCCATTGTGGGGAAGACAAAGGACATGGCAAGAATCAAGAAAGTCACAGGCTTACTTGGCTGCTGGAAACAACACCAGATTTTAAGCGAACAGTGAAGATAGTAACGGTCAGCCAGAAAAACAACGCTAATCATACTAAAGAAAGAGAGAACACACCATAGTTTGTGCAGTAACTAGATACTGTACTCTTAGATAGTCATAGTGCCTTCTTTTGACATGCATCTGTCATCATAACTCGGCGACCGTTCGCCCAAAACATCTCTGTGCATCCCGACATCAAGTGGGAGGTGTCCGCGAACATCTGGGCTAAGGTGGTGGCGGTCTTCTCGACACTCAAGGCCAAGCTGGTAATGTAGAGCTGTTGAAAGAGAGCCTCAGCACAGCCAGACAGCACAGCCACACATGGCCATAAGAATCAAAAGAGTGATCCTTTGGATTTAAATCCTGAGGCTTACAGCCAGACTGTGGAGCTACTGAGAAGATCGTTCACAGATGGCCATTGAATGCTCAAATTGCTCAGGATGTTGCCATGCAAAATTCATAAGCCTACTACTGCTACAGCAGTATTTCCGTGTATCATGGACATCTTCATGGCCTTGTGCCTCCAACGAAACACAACGAAACATGTTGCTATCTTGGCCTGGCTTCGCTGTGGCTCGAAAGCTAAGTCACTAAAGAGGGTATTGGGAGCGGCTTCGTCTATTGGATCAAAACCTGCCCAAACAGAGCGCCAGGATACTCTGCTCTAATAGTATGGACTTATGCCATTTGGGAGCCAGTCTCAGTGGATCCTGTGCCAGTCTCAATTGGCAGAAGGGAATGAAGCTCCAGAAGTGCGAGCCAACCGCCAACCGCCCCCAGTGACGAGTGGCGGCCAAGGCCGGCGATTGTTGCAACTTGCGCTTGGCGCATTCCAACTGCCACGCGGCAGCCTGACGGACGATCTGGAATGGCACCTACCATCACCTTTTTCCCCACAGAAATCCACAGGAGTATACACCGGTCTTCTGCAAACATGAGGGGCGCATATGTTAAAGCTACTTTCTTGGCATAAGAGATGGAGCTGGTAGGTTAAAGCATGCCCTAACTCCTCACATGCACAACCTCGGAACCTCTGCTGGTTTATCCTATGGGATTCCACGGGATTGGCTTGGGAAGAATGGTGGAACGTGAAGGTTCATGGTGTCTCATAGCGTCCATGTATTTAGTCCACTGAGCGCTGCTGCTCTCGTGGATCAGGCGAGTTTTTTCGCGCTGAAGAAGTTCGCCACTGTCGGTCGGCTGTGTCTGTTCGAATGAGGGAAAGATTCTGCACGGAGTGAGCTTACCAGAAAGCGTCTTTGGTTCACAAGGTCATTTCAAGGCCGTCCTAGTTTTCGGACACAGGCACAAGTCCAGCAAACAAAAAAAAATCATTCCTCGTGGTGCATCGGCCTCATCCCTCGCTTCTGCCTTCCTCACATCCTCCGCACATCGGGCAGGATCAGTCGTATGAAGCAAGTCATGGACTATTCACCAACTGACCAGGCCAGAATGAAAAGACAAAGTCAAGGCAGCCAAGGCACACGTGAAAAAAAATGTGTTCTAGTACCACGCTTACCACCCTAGCGAGGCAATCAATTCATCAGGATTTGCTCTATTCTTCATCTGTGCAGGTTGTGACAATCCTCCACTGCTCCATTGACACTTCCCAGACCCCGAAAAGCGTGAACGAGTCAACCAATTTCCGAAGCGACTTGTAACAAATTCTTGGAGTGTAGAAACTAAATATACTATATATATATATATATATCAATCTATAACACTATCCACATTCATCACACTATATCATACGTTATCCTTGAGTCATTGAGTCTTGAGAGCCTCCGTCTTTGAAGTGCCTCACCTAGTGGAGACATCAACATCAACATGGTCTGTCTCTTCGGATGCCCGTCTCCTTGGTCTTCTCTTTGATGATCCACCGCTGCACCACGCCCCACTCGGCGTCGTTCACCAGGGCGATGTGATGTCTCAACTGCTCCACCAGCTGCTCTCGGAGCTCCTGAAGCGTTGTTCTCAGCGGTGCCGAAGCGTCGGTTTTTGTTCGGACGGGTCGGATGGGATGAGGAAGTCTGCTATAAGACTTCAAAGAAGCAAGAGGAATCTTCAATCAAGCATGCAGTTGATGCAGTTGATGCAGCTGCTCTCTTGCCTTTTGGAACTCCATTATCCTCTTCCCATCCGCCTCCCAGCACCCCCATGCTCATCCATGCTCCCACCCCTACCACACCGGCATGGTCAACCCAACGCTGCGACACCGGCGGCACCGCGCGAAACCACGCCTGCACCAAGGCGGAGAAGATGTTGCCTCATCTGGCGCCACCCAACCCGTGAAGTACTAAGAAGCCCAACAAAAACCAACAGAGCACAGGGCAGGGTTGAGAGGCCGGCGACAACTCACAACGCATACCTTGCAAATCCAGGGCCCCATATGGACCCATGAGAAATCCAGGACGTGTGCCGACAAATGGTGAGTTGATCCTATTCATTCCAAACAGTTACAATGAACCTCAACTTTAGGACAGCGACCTATGTGTAACACAACGACCTTTCTCGTTCCTCTCGGCTGCACAACGACCTAACGACCTTCCAGCGAAGCGGCCACTCTCCCGTCGGAGTTTAGGAGGCGAAGTCAACTTCGACTGCACCTTCTCATCCTGGTGCGGGCGCCCGTGGGAGAAGGTGAGGGAGCTGTTGGGTTCTGCTGCTGACGATGATGACGAAGAATGGTCTTAAGATGTGATGTGTGGCCTTTTGAATTGTTTTGATGTGTGTTGCATGGGCGCTGCATTCACACTCCGACACCGGAAAGCAGGGCTCCGAATCAACCTGAGAAGAGTGAAGTTCGAATCAACCCCATGTGTGGGCTAGATGCAGTTCTAGGTGAATCATTGAATCAGTAGATTGCTAGAGTTCCCTGGTGCAACCCCCCCTTCACCCACAAAGAAAACAACACCCATATTAGGAACGGCCAAAAATTATTTAAGCGCAGCTATTGCATCGTCAAATGTGTGAGTCCCTCATCGGGTTTGTGATTCCCTGTCGTTTGCCAGGGTTTGGAGCATTGTAGCATATGAATCATATGAATGAAATACTCTTATGCGATTGCAATTCCCGCACATTGTGAGGCACTTAATACATAGCCCCTTCTATGCTGCCCACATGCCCAGGCGCCTCATTGACTTTCAGCTGGACACCTCAGTGTGCTCTGTTGTCGCTTGGACTGATGCTTCTGTTGTCACTGTGAGTTCGGTCGAAATTCCACCAAAAAGGTTTCCAATGCCATCATCGAATGGATTGGAGAGGTCAACCACGCCCCCCAGAATGGTGTTTGGCAAAGCTGCCTGTTAGACCCTCAGAGGTATGTCCAGGCACTGCGGGCCGACAATCGCCCATCAGGATGACCATTCCTCTTGAAACTTCCACCAAGCAGGTTCATCGGCATATCCTTCAAGGGCAAGTGCTGTGCTTCAAGAACCGCAACAAGTCTTCCAGAAAAAGTACAAGAATCCTGGCTACCAGCTGCTACCATGCTTCAAATGACCTTGTTTCATGTAGGAATCAATCGGTTGCCTGTGCCACAGGATGCGTCAGTTGGCCACACCTACAATCAATCCATGTCAAGTCCAAAATGACTTGGCAGATCAAAGGATTCTGGCCAGTCTCTTCATTCCTATTCAATCCGAAGTCACCATGCCCATCCGAATCACATGTCTTTCAGGCAGAAAACACCCCGGCCCGCATCTGTCCCGCCAGTCGGGAGCCGAGATACTGAGCCAAGTGACCTGCCAAGTGACTGAGCCAAGTGGGTGTGTATTTTAAATCCGGGAGACCGTTTAACCAATGGGTAGACTGGTCTATTTTCTGAACCTTCCAGGGGGTCGTAACTGGGAAGTCTCCCTGTTTTGACACACTCAAGTGTTATCTCTTACAACTGCTGATATTATGAGTTAACCCTCCCCGACCTAGCTTAGACTGGCTATAAGTGAGGTTTTCTCCCTTGCCGTGAGACTTTAGGGACTCAGGTGCGGGATCTCTGCCTCAACTGGCGGAGGGATGCAACCACACCAAGCCAAAAGTGAGTGCTTCACATCAAGTTCCAGGCACATGTCGCCAAGATACCATGCCACGAAAGGTGCTTTCTGCCTTCTGCCTTCTCCAAGATCAAAACGCAAGTCCAGTGACGTCAACTTGGTGTTTGGCTCATGGCATGAATTCGGTGTGTCGCTCTTTGCCTGATCGCTCTTGGCCAAGGTCTCTCGAGCTCGGATCACCTCAGCGCCCACGAAACCCAAAGCGCCCAAACCGCGTCACACTCCGGGTGGGGGTTCTGAGCACGTGGATGTGCTTAGAATCCCCACCCAGTCGAAGTTTGAACCCGGTATGTGGATTGGATTTGGAATCCCTGCCTCTTCAAAATCCCGGTGGGTGGCTTGTTATCCACTTGGAATTACCGGTTCGTGGCAACTCAAACTGCGACACGTAGTCAGTTCACACCCAATGGCACCAAACTAAACCAGCTGACCCACCATGGCACCCAAGCAGGTGGAATGAGTAGGACAAATATCATGTTGACAAGGATTGAATACTCGTACCACCCATTCTGTGAATCTATTCCGTGAAGTGTCTCCAAAACAATGGACCTCCGTTGATGGGTTTTGCACCACTTTAGCTGCTTTAGCTGGATCAGCAAGATTTGACACACTTCCAGATGGTGCATGCTGCACAAACCCTTCATGTCATGAGATGTCAGGCTCCTCAAGGCTGCAAATAATTCGAGATCTTTCAGAACCTCATGAAGTCCAAGGTCATGGAGTGGAGTAGATTGGAGTAGGAACCCACCTGCATGCCACATGCCCGCCCATGAGGTTCTGCCCGGTCGCCGCGCTGGCGCGTCCTGGATCGTTCCAGACCAATGCAGCTCGCATGCTTTGGCGATTCCTCCACGTGTGGCTGAAATGGGTGGGCGGAAGCTTTGAGCGTGTGATGAGTGGAGATTTCAGATTCTCCTTCGATGGAATCTATCAAAGTATTCAAACAAGCATCTCAAAAGGAAGAAAGCAAGAGGCAGGTAGCCAAAGGCGCCATTTCTTGGACAGAACCCCTTTCATAGCTTGCTACCATTTATTTTTCGTTTGTTGGATTGCTTGATAACGTCTCCTTATCACGGCCTCTTGCAATGCCATTCTCTTCACTTTTTGGAGGCCAAATCGCATTTGCCAAACCGCTCCAGCGCATCACACATCACATCGCATTTCATACGCGCCACGCGGCGGTGGTTTCTCACCGGCTCGGTCCTCTCAAACTTGACGCGGCGAAACCAGTTCTGCCAGGCGTTTAAGCAGGCGGCGCACGTCTCCCAGTGCCCGTCGCCCAGCAAGGAGCCTGTAAGGAGCGAATCTCAATTCAAAAAGGTGCTGCCATTCCACGACCCAGTTGATTGAAAGCCAAACAGGGCCCCTTGAATCTCATCTCCTATGCCGCCTATGACTGTTGAATCACGCCTTTCCATTCCTCCCAAGTCACTCTTTGTGGCCAAGGTTCCAAAGACTCTGACACTGGCCAATGGGTCGCCATCGGAGAATCTCCTGTTACCAACGCAGGAGGCGCAAAACGAGAAAGGTGAGGGCGACGATGGCGAGGCGAGGGCGACGCAGCCTGAGAATAGGCCAATGCATTTCGCACGTCGTTTCATTTCGTGCAAGGCGCCCCCAGAACCTCTGGCGCAGTTTTGAACTAGACATTAACAGCTCTGAAACAAAAGACTCCTTGTTTATTGGGCGGTGTGGTGCTTGGCAACCCCCCAAAAAAGGATGAGTCAGGTCCAGGGTTACAAGTGTAAACCGGCTCTACCTTGGTATCCAACATGTACAGCCCTGGTATTTACACTACCAAAAGCGGAACCAGTTTGCTTCACAATACAGTCACGCACAGTGTCTGGACCAAACAAACATATCATGCCGCTATTCTACAGCTGGTTGTGACTGCAGGATGCACATAAACGTGACTGCTTCCCAAAGATCCAATCAGTGGTAGATCACATTCGCACAT